ATGTAATTCTTTGTCTTACCTTAAGTTACCTGCCTATTAACGGATATAGAAAGGAAGCTTGATTTGATATTTGCTGAGATTTGTCGGACGTCATGAAATTTCGGCCACACCCACATGGACAACTCCCCCGTATCTTATATTTGTAAGTTTAGTTTATTAACCTTTTTTTCGGGGGCGTAAATAAAATCATTTCGCCGGGGGCCCTCTTCGGAGTTGTTGGATGTAATTTGGGGCAGTCCCGTGCGCCGTAGAGACACAATGTAAACGGTATTATTTAAAAATCATAAGATTTCTGACATACTCAGAACGACCAATCCCTCTCATTTTTCCATTTTGCGTCAAACGATAATCATTTCAATGGGGTACCCTCTACGGAATGGTGGGAGAGGGGGTGTATATATTGGCAGTCTCCCGTGCCGTACAATCACTCATTGACAACGGTTCTTTTGTCTTTTTCCCGGGTTTTCACCGGGGGGGGGGGGGGGTCGGTGTACGCTCTCAAGATGTTGGATACGCCATTTGTGATGTGAAAATATCCTAAGGTTAATGGGTTAATGGAACGTAACCCTCGCTTGGGCACGAATGTGGCTTGGTGTGGAGACATCACTACAAAAAAAACACGAATGGCGATGACAAATTATTGACCACAAATTGAATACACAAATTTGCTGACTTTGTCCGTTTATTGGAAAACTTTCTGACAATCAACAAACTATATACAATTAATAGCGGCCCAATGACCCTCTTCAAAGTTTACACGACAAATATGGTGACGAATGGTGTGGACAGAAATAGCCTAAGGATCTTTCTGACTCAAAAAAATGAAGAAAAAAGAATAAGCAATTGACTTTTCCAGGTAAAAAGATCTTTTTTAGCTTGACCCAATAACACTGGTTTCGGTTTGCCGCTGTGATTCATTTGTTGATATTGTGCCTCCTGTCTTGTATTTATTTATCTCCTTTTGGGGTTTCTACGAGAAAATGAACTCATGCGCACTGTTACTTTGTATCAGGCTACTGCTTTTTGTTATTATCCCTTGTTGAATGCTAATAAAAACCCACCAATATCATGTTGGTAACCAGACAACCTGTATATACTCTTATGAAGTCAGAATTACGAATTATTTTCTTAGCCTGTTTTACTAATGGAAAGTTAATTTTGTACAATGAAGAAATTTTGAAATAATAAATATTAAAAATGGGAAGCGATATACAAAAACAAATGTTTACTTTTTGTTATCGTTATATAGCAATCATCAATCTGACTTTGTATGCAGAAAATATTGATAAATTTAAAATGCTGACTGATGATAAGACCAAAATGAATTTCGGGACTCGTGCCAAAGCGAAACAATAGCTTTCCTTTTAGCTCTTCCGTTTATGACTCTCGTCGTTTATCGTATAGACAGCACATTTTGAATCGTTCATAAAAACATAACATTATGTTTATACTTTGATCATTTTCCATCAAATGAACCATTTCCTCGCCGCGTGAATGGTGTAACATTCCGTGGAAATCCGGTGAGGGAAGTGCGAAGTGGGTGAGATTTGTTTATTTTCACATGAATAAAAGCAACATTAGTTTTAGGTTATGATAATCTAAACAGAATTGCAGCGTGGGTCGAAAAGACGAAAGATAGCGACGAGAGGGGATATTAATAATTAGAGCCATCCGTAATATCTAGAGATAAAATAATAGTTTCTTTATGATAATTTATTCTTCTTTTTTTTCGTTTTTAACTCGTGAACGTTTTTTTTTTACCGACCCCATTTAAAAGAATTGTTTTGCAATGGTTAGGACTAACGTAATAATTGTAGCTCTTTTATCTAAATTTTGAAGAAAAGATAACAACAAAAAAGACACACACACACACACACACACACACAAAACGCTTTTTAATGAAATCATCGTTTATCCGTCAATAAACAAGCAATTACTAATTGATAAATGCACCGATAAACAATGCGTTTAATGAACCATTTGTGCTAAAATAAAATAAAATATTTTGATAGAGCACCTAAATTAATAAATCATAAATGACTTTTACGACCTGACGTATAGCATGTTTAGAGCGTGCAAAAAAGGTCGACCACTGTCTTACCGGATATGAAATATGATCATTATTACATTCTAATAGTAATAACGTCGCCACAAGCAACGTGCCCGTCAATGTTGGGCAAAAGTGCAACTTCCAGGAAAACTACCACCAGGACAGCGTCTCAAGTCTCACAACGACCAAAGGGAACAGATCAACATCCCCGTATCATTCGTCTCAATGGTGTCATGCTAACCAATCAAGTCCTATATTAAGGAAGATCTGTCATAAACAACATACGCCACATGAGACAACCGGGAAGCCTTGCTCAACAATCAAATCAAACCACCGAAGCCATAATCGATGAAACTCGAAGCCCATTTAGAAGAAATATTTGTTATGAATTAGGCCTACGTCAAGGGCAATGGCATCAGTAAAGTAATTTGTGCAGAGTCGGGATAATTCTTTATTTCCTCCGAATGAAGTCTGAGATGAGAGTGCAATGTCCATGAAATAAAACGACGTTGATTTCTCAAAGGACTGATCAATGTAAAAAGAACCGCCCAAAATCGTTTAAGGACTTTGTCTTGCCTTTGTTGGATTTCCGGTACGTCTTTGGCACAATCCCATTTTCCGCAAAAAAGAGACTGAAGAAAAAAATGAATGATTTTCATCACCATTAGAGCGTTGTCTGATTTAATGTCTGCGACAGCTTTCGATAGATTCAGAGATCGGGAGGGTGACATCTTTATAACCACCATAAGTGGCGTAGCTAAACGGGGAGGACATTGGGCACGTGTCTCATCTTCCCGATCGAACGGATGGCGGAATGGGGGTAGTGAATATAAATGGAAAAAGATAGAACCCCTCACACAGTTTCACCATCTACCTTATTAGTGGCCTTGTTAATTTGTATTTCATCCACCTAGTAAGACCGATATGCACCCCCCCCCCCCCCTCCAAGGATACCAGCACCCTCTCAACTGGACCCACACTTCCGTTTTCTCCCTCTTCCGACATTCAGATAATGTCACAAACTATTTGGTTCAAGTGTTATTCAAAATTGATAAATTCTTCACATTCTGGGGTTTCTTTACATCCGTTTGAAACAAAAATAAATAAAAGTTCAGGATTACTTTAATTCTCTTTCATATTATTTTGTTCTGAGAATGTGCGGCATGTAAAAATCCAGAATTTATAACTGACAATATTTACTAGTCTTCTGTCCTTCAATAATATTTGTCTTCATTGATTGTTTGGAATGTTTATAATTATCATGTACATGAAACATTTAGCCCCAACACTAATATTTATTGATATACCTTTCTTTTCTTCTTCTTCAAAATGTTCAATTAATTTTGTTAACACTTTTCTCTCTTCTTCCACTTCCGTCTTCCGAAGTTCGCATTTATCAATCTTCCGGTATTGTGGCCAATCTTCCGTCATGCTATACCCTTCAAACATGGACAGCAGATCACAGCGTTACACGCATTACTGTACAAGATTTTAATTTAACAGAGCATACTGGCATCTGACAACAATACTAATTAAATATTCAAATAAATAATATCTTAGTGTTTACAGCAATTACTGTTTTCCCAAAGAAAAACTTGTTTCTTTCTTTTTTTCCTCTATCTTTTATTAATTTATTAATACTTACATAAAAACACATAATTGTAATGATTTCAAAGACAAAAACATCAATTATTGTACTTATATCACACAATTAATTACACATTTGTAAACATAATTTACATTTCTTCCAGAGGTAATACTTTTCAACATCTGCTCTTTAAAATATTTCCTTTAAATGAATTTAGAATATGTTCGTAAAATTACATTTCATTTTTTGTATATATATATAAAACATAAGAAACTAAATTAATTGATAGATTTTTAAAACTACATATTTTGAATTTAAATAATCACATTGCTTACAATTACTCATTGACACCATCTCTGATGTAGAAAGGGGGAAAGGATTCTGGTGAAGTGACAGTCCACTTCACACAAACTACACAAAAATGGTCATAGCGCCACCTCTCGTAAAGTTGAACACAACTATGTGAAGGAACGGGCTTTCACATTACATCGACTAAAGGATTGTTTACGTCTATCACATTCGCTTTTTAACAATGAAAAAGGACATGAGAAAAAACAGTTGCATCCGAACTGTTAAACAGCACATATTCTACGAGATAGAGAGAGAGAGAGAGAAAAAAACAAATCCGAGAAAGCATATCCCATGTTAAACATTTTCGGACTAATGCGTGAGTGGGGAGGGGGTGTGGGGTGGGAGAGGGCACTGTGGTGGTACTGTTATTATCATTTTTATTATTAATATTTTTTTAAATATTTTTTTTTAAACTCGTAAACTGCAAACGGAAGCCTTTTGACGGGTATAACATAGTGTCCATGGTAATCACTAAACTAAATCAAGTTTTTACTTATTTTTGCAATATCCAACAATGTATGATTTATTTATTTATTTTGTTGGTCATAATGTTGATAATATATAAGTTATTTTTATTTGATTAATTCCAGAGATGTTTTTCTAGACTTTATGGTTTCGATATTATTCCACCATTCAATGAAAGGCAGAGCAAGTGTATCACATAATCCTTTATTTCCTTTAGTCTCTTATCCCTAATTTATTTTTTCTCTCCCTCTCTCTCTCTCCCTTCTTTCTTATCGTTTTAATCTAATTCCATCATTCTTGCTGGCGTTCCTTCCCCCTCTTTTTGTCATTTACTGTCTTCAACTTCCCTGCTTTGTTTTCTCCTCCCCTGACCCCCCCCCCCCCCTCCCCCCTCCTCCTCTTCTCATCTTTTCACTACCTCTCTTCCACACCTTCCCTATCTGTTCCGGTTGGCGTAACGCGCTCACGTGCGTTTTTAAAAACGGTGATCTTTGAGCTTTCTGAAGTAGCCAAACACCGCCGATGTACATACAAACTCATGTATATAGAATCCAACCGGTATACACACACAAGCCAATACACGTAGGTGTATTTTTGTGCCGTGTTCCGTAGCAGACGACGATCGCTGATCGCGACCAGACGAAGCTGTCTCGCTTGAGGAACCCAAAACGGATTGAGGCTAACACCAGCTCCTCCCCTTTACCGGTATAAAAGACCTCCGCTCTGGCTCTACCAGGCATCAGTGCATTCGACATCCAAGAAGTGCTGAGATACACCAGTGGTGCAGGCAGAGAGAGGTATCTGACCAAGGAATTGGACGTATCCATCATAGCAACGGATATCTTTTGCCTAATCAGTACTTAATGAAGAGGAGTTCGTCTTCTATGGATAAATTTCGAACGTTAATATCTGTCTTCTAATTATTGAATGGTTCGCGGAGTAGTAAATTAATTTTTTTCTGATCGCTGAGAATGCTCCTTATCTTCATGACTTCAGTAGCGCGGTTGAGTTAATATGGTTGAGAGTCATGACAAAACCTTCTGCTAAGTTTGGTTGCCCCTTCTTTCATTTTGTCTTTCCTACCGGATAGGATACCACTTATTCTTCAGAAGTCATTCCAAGCACAACGAATAAAGTTTAGAAGCATCATCTTGTCTTGTGTCTTCCAGCGAGACTTGGCAATTCAGTTTATAGTCATAAATAATATTATCACGACTTGTGTAAAATATCTTCAGCTTTTAACTTATTCCAATCAAGTTAAACTTTAGTGACCGTCAAAGACAACAACAAGACCATGTTTTCATCAAGCAGTACATCCTCCTCCATACGTTGCTGCCTAGCGGCGTCGTGGCTGGGCCTCGCAGTACTTTCCCTCACTTTCGATGGCCTCGGTGCCGGTGGACAGTGCAAGTTCGATCTGCAGGAGTACCAGGACCGGCGGATTGCCGCCATCAAGGGACAGATCCTCAGCAAACTGGGTCTCACCGCCCTGCCCACCGATGATGGACCAGAGGATGTGCCTAAGGACATACTGGATTTATTTAATCAAACAGTGACACTGCTCGAGGAGAAATACGAAAACGAGAGAGAACAGTGTAAGGGGTTGTCAGGCGGTAGTGATGACTATTTCGCGCAATTGCCCATCTTATATGGTATAGTGGAAACTGATATTGAAAAAGGTAAGTCCATGTTACTTCATTCTAAACGCATGTTTTAATCATGTTGCCGTCACTGACACCATAGTCATTAAAAGATACCGACCCAACTTGAATGGCTAAATTAGAACCAGAGTTAGGTACTGTATCAAATGATGTTAAATGAGAACAGTCATTAACAAAAAACAGAATACAATGTATCTAGCGTAGTGTAGTCTATCCCTTTGGACTATTTGGACAACTATTATGCTGGGAAGGCATTAATTGTTATAAATGCTTTTACCATAATAATAATCTCAAAAGGACGATTGCCAATATCCGTATTTTGCCAGACGGGTTTAAATATGAACTTTCGCCGATCAAAGTTCAATTTCCATCTCTGCGTCTGAGTATTCGGTTGTTATTAATTGTTATAACAAGAATCGAATCACCATTTACTATACAAACATAAGTGAACAAAAGTTAATGTCATAAGTGTTCTTCAAACATTTTACATCGAGAGGACAAGTATAGTTCATGGTACCACTGTAGCTAGTAATGGTTGTATAGTTGGGGGGGGGGGGTGATGATGATGAGCAACACTACACCTGTACGCGTGTGATTTCCGTCATACTTCACATTTCGAATTGTCAAGCTTGGTTTGTTTTCCCGGTCAAGGGTGAAATTGTGCCAAGTGTTGCCCTTATTCAATCCTGACACATTTTGGTAATAGAATCCAATGATATCCTTTTACATCAAGGGCAATATGAAACTAGGTGAACTCATGAAAATCAATCTTCTAGTTGGGAATTTTCACTAAGGGACGATCTGTGCATTAAGTTCACTGAAGAAATAAAAAGTTCATGTTGTAAATTAGCATCATGGATATGGATTCCTGTTTTTAATAACGATCGTCATGTACTTTGGGTGTCCAATAATATAAGGTATAAAAGGGTAAAAATGCATTTGCATCATTTTCTCCTAAAAACTATTAATTTCCAACATTCATGTAGCGTAGGATTATGTATTTCTTGCGTGTAGAATGGTGGAACATGACATGATAAGATTCGTAACTGAACTGTTGTCTTTGGTTGTATTTTTGACGTTAGGTCAAATTTGACTAAGTATATACTCCTAAAGTTTGGTTCTTCAGTTTAATCAGGCGAGGTAGTCGAATCATAATAGTTCCTAGCTTCTTCACTATACTATTCTATTCTATAATAAATATTTGATACGCCTGGAAGTGTTGGTTAACAACATGTATTTCTTTAAACTCATGAAACTATATTGGTAATCGGCAGGTACAGATGCTCTCATCAATACATCTGCAAATGGATATCAATACTAATAATACAAATACATTAACTCTCCTTAAGTTCACAACTAATTTTTAACAAGATAAACAAATATGTACCTAACAAGACCACAAAATGTGGTTTCCCGGTATCCTACTTCAGCAAATACTGTCTTGCGTGGGCTAAGTTTATGTCTACTTTAGACGGACTTCCACATGATTTCGCGAACTCTAAACCGGGAAAGAGCAACGCAAAGGGATAACGATGTGATTAACCTCACAAAAGCTCATAATTAGATTAGGAAACATCGTTAAGAGCTTAGCTTAATCTCATTGGAGGGATGAATAGGTGTTTAACGAAGTTAATGAAGGAAATAATGGGAGCGCGAGCCCCAGAATTGATCCATCCATGAGGTAAAGAGGAGGGGTAAATTATAGAAAGCTTCTTATACGGGTATTGTACGCCACAAAGAGGTTCAAGTCGTGCTACCGGCGGCACTAAAAGCGTGCTCGTCCAACCAGTAAGTTCACACGCCCATACGTTTAAGCAACCTTTTAGTCACACGTCATCACTTAGCATTATGTTAATGAATGAAGTTTTGGAAGCCATAAACTTTTTAGTAATATTGACGGATATTGAAAGGTTTTTTTAATGAATGAACCTGAGGTGGGAGAATGGCGATATCATGAAGGAGGGCATCATTGTTGACGAGTATTTTTTGGATGCTCCTTTTGATAGTTAATTACACGTGAATTATGGACCGAAGATCTTATTAAACTGATCTGGTAAACACGAAAGGTATTTTCAATAGAAATGAAAGTGAAATAGTCTCTGCTGAAAAGCTTGCCAATGGAGGCATTACTGCGCCATGTCTTCAATCGGAATGAAAAATATAGGTCCAAATAACTTGATCAAAAGAATGCAAAATACCCTAATGATAGATGTCACATTTTACTTTTGAGCAGTTCAGCGACTCGCAAATGTCACGACAGTCCCTTCATAGCTTTAGAAATCAAATGTCTAGTCCCATATAGCGTGACCTCGATACGACACAATAAATCTGTTGCCTGGAAAACAAACCACTTTGAAAACGACTTTTCTAAACGGTTTATATGTTTGCCTAAACGCTCTTCATTGGTCATTAAATGACCATTGTCGGACCATTATTATCGAGTCTCTGGGGAGCACTGAAAATAATTCGAAACCAAATCAATAGTCTTAATTGGAGTATATAGCTATAAACTGATGGTAGTTGAGAAATTGACATGGAACACTAGGCTGGCAAACAAGAAAAACAATAAAAGAAAGAAAAGGAGAAATGACGAATGTGATGACGAGAGGAGAGAAGAAAGTAATCGCGGGAGATTTTATCTGTCCCGCTCTCCTCGTGTAATGGCCAATGTGGGATTTACTATGCATGCCCGGAATGTGATATGAGGCGATCCAGACAGTTTATAATGCCTCCCTAAAATATGATAAAAAGAAGAAAATGTCACGCCATCAGATAAAGAGAGAGTGGTCCAAGACGAAACGACACCGGTCACAATGGACGTCAATTAGTAGTATCATAGGAGCACCCGCCGGCACCCGCCATCTTCAGTCGATCCGTGAATGGCTCTTGAAATAACCCGAGCAGATCAGTGCCACAGACATTATTCTGATATAGGTCCGCCGGGAGACAGATCAAGTACATGCATAGATCCCAAATGACTTTTCTTGATCTCTGTTATAGTAATGGTAAAAACCCAACTTGTGCAACAGAGGTAACATAGCAACAAGCGATATATCCACTCAGATACTATCAATGATCATGACTGTAAGCAATGGTGTTCGTTATTTCATGAATGTTATATTGTAATTCTAATGCCACCAATGCCTTACAAGACACAAAAGCAACTAGGCCAAATAGAAAGTTTTCACTGCCTCTCGATTTCGGACATAATTATTGCCTGTATTTTATGACCAATCAAATAGGAATTGTAAACACATTATTTACTAAGGAAGAACGAATGAAAGAGTTATGGGGTGGTTGGTGCGGAAAAAGAAAAAAGAAATGACTTCATGTTCTTCGAAGCCTATTAAAATTCGGTTTCTCTTCAAATGGCAAGACATGGACGAACAACTCCAACTGACAAAGAACATGTTTTGATCGACTTGTCATGATGATTCTGTTTGGCAAGGATCATTCTAGACCCAATTATACCTTAAAAGCTGCTTTATCGCATCCTATCCTGGGCATCCAGTGGATTAATATAAAAGACCAGTAACTTAAACGGCATAATTTAAAACGCTATAATGGGGATGAAATTGCGGAGGAAGGACCGGATGGTTTGGGGTTACATTAGGGCATCCCCTTTCCTTCAATAGGATACCAGTGGATCTACATTCAATTCATTGACACTATCTCTTTAGAAGTGACCAAAGTGAGACAGCCGGAGTACAATAACCGACGATTTAGCCTTCAAGAAGCATGTCATCATCATGCCACTCTCGTCGTCATGAGTGGAAAATGCATTTACTTGAGAACAGAACAAGGAGCTCGAGACCGATAGGCCTACTGCTCAAGATAATTGTACTTAAATATAAACGAATGTATTTTTTGTTGCAGGATTCTAAATTTGAATCAAGTGAACTTTTTAATCAAAGACGTTCGTATTTAAGGGTGCTATTGCAAAGCATACCCACGTGGCTCTTCACGGGACTATATACTGCTTTTGAAGAACAGACTAAACATATCGATTTAAAAAACACAGAACATCTTGAAAAGACATTTCTTAGACGTAATCTGCACTTCATATAGATTTAGATTACACAAGTACCATTCGGATTAAATTACAAACATAGTTGTTTAACGGTTGTCAACCATCAGAAAATAAGAGACGCCAATGATACCCTGAGCACTCCTGTCAACCCTTCCAAAACAAATGTCTGTCATATCTACTTACCAGATTAAAACCCTTCACAAATATTAGCTAGCAAGGCCCAAATCCGATTAAACCGGTCGGAATAACAGGGAACATTGACATGATGTCGAGGAGTGGTTTTCTTTCTTTTCTTTAGAGCGTGCCACTGGGGTGGGTTTCGAAATGGTCAAGAAAATAAGGCCCCACACAGTGCTCTAACTTCAATCATGTTATTAGCAAAAGTCTGACACACAAAGTCATCTTCAGTATAATTTTATCTGAGAGACAATGTAATATATATTGAAAGATTGAAATATATTATATTTTGGTAGAACCCGAGACCTTAAACGGAGGACCTTTCATGGAAGTATGATGAGAGCAAGATGAAAAGCTTCAGTGTGTCTTAGTTTTAAGATAAATCCTTCGTATATAAAGGAAAGAAGAATAAGACAGAATTCTGTGCAATGTCTCTATGGGTTCATCGTTTGTGCCATCGGTTTAGAATAGGCTACATATATATCAATAGTATCACTACTTTGACTAGTTTTTTTATAGTTTTTTTTACATTTTTAAAAATTTTAATTACCAGTCTATATACCGGCATTTATATCAGAAGTTATACCAAAAATAGTATAGAATACTTAAACTGTTTCCATATTCTTGTAATATAATTTCAGTAAATTGAAGTGTTCATGCAGTTGAATGCTAGTCAAAGAAATAAATCGCAAAATGGGTCTCGATACACAATTCGACGACTCACGTGTTGAAATTATTGAGTATGGCGAAACCCTGTCATTGAGTGTTATTACAAGCAAAATATAAATATACTCAGTCGGGGTCCACTATA